GCAACAACCTCGCCGTGCCAAGCTGATAAAGCGCCTGAAGCCACGCTCGCCCCTGGCCACGGGCAGGGTCACCTCTGCAGCCGCCCCCGGGGCTCAGCCGCAAAGCCCACTCTGAGGTGCATGGGGATGGCAGCTCCATCCATCCCCACATCTGCTTTCCTTCCAACGGCTCTCGGAAAGAAAGGAAACGGCTTTATTTTGGTTTGTTGCTTGCCGGCAGAGCTCCTCTCCGGTGCCAGCTCCGTCCCCGCCCGGCGTTCCGCAGAGGATGTCGGAGGAGTATTTGAGGAGCACTTGTCAAGCACATCATTCTCCCCAAAGGTTAAAAGAGCGGCTGAGATTTAAACAGAAGTGCCCAAAAGAGCTGCCCGAGTGCGGGTTTTGGTGGCAGAAAGGCAGCGGCTCCGGCGGTGGGAAGGTACTGCCCCGCTTGCCTTGGCAAAGGAGCCGGGGCTTTCAAAGTCATTCCAGTTTTCTGCTTCCAGCTGGATAAGGAAAGGCAAACTCTGCCAGCATGAAAATTATTGAAGCTAAAATAACCAAGGTAACCCCCAAACAAAACTCTGTTGGGTACATGAAAGCTGGGTAATGGTTTGCAGTGAAGAATGGAGGGACAGCAAGGGTCTCGGCTGGATCTGTCCCCCTCTGCGTCCAGAGGATTTGGTCCAAGTTCACCTTTATGCAGGTTGTTACTCTGAGGACTGTATGGCCGCATATAGATGCAGACGTCAGCCAGGGTTAAAATCCACCCTAAGCCTCCCGAGGGGCTGAACCGGAGTGATCTGAGCAAGCGTAGATGAGATCCTCAGCACCAAATCAGACTGCCCAGAGCAGATCGCTCTTAGCACCAGCGTACCAACACCAAAAGAGACCCTCTATCACCGTGCAAAATGCTTCTGTGGCACTGTCACGCACGGAAGGGCAGGAATGTCCTTGCCCAGCTGCTGGCCACCTCCCTCTCCCAGCTCCTCTGGACCAGGCAGCTCAGCCCGGAGGGTTAGGAAGCTCCTCGACTGCCAGCGTGGCCAAACTGGCAGCCCCAAACCACCACGATGGTGGGAGGCAGAGCCAAAACGGCTTGAAACTGGGGGTCCCCAAACCCCACGGTACCGCAGCAGACCTGCGAAAGCCCTCAAGCTTTGATGGCAATTAGGATGTGGCCTTCCCACAGCTCCCACAGCAGCGAAATGTTAGGAAACCTCAACCCCAACCAATGAGTAGCCAGAATTCATTAAATTTAAGCTATGTGACTTAGAAACATGTATTTCCCTGGCTGCAGGAGCTCGGGGCAGGGCACGCTGCAATGAAGCAGCTCCCGCAGATGGTTCCAGCTTTGTTTCACAGCTCGAAAAAGCTCTAAGCCATGAATCATGGCACTTTCCGGACTGCTCCCGCAGCCGTGGCCCTGCCAGCCTTCCCATCACCGGGGCAGCCCTGAAAGGCTGAAAACACATCCACCCCCCAAGCCCTTCCCGCTCGGCTGTCCCGCTCCATCCCTCAGCCAGAGCGAGAGGATTAAACCCGGCACCTCACTCTGTAGCAGCAAAAAAACAAAACAAAACAAAACAAAATGAAAAAAAAGAAGAAAAGACAGCAACTTGTTTTTGAACACCCTCAAGCTAAAGATTTAGAAAGGCAGCCCCAGCCAAGCCCCGAGCAGGGTGCTGCTGGGACACGTCCCGTGCTTGCTGTACACTTACATAAGGCTACGCGCGCCTGCAGCTCTGCAAACACCCCGGGCACGGAGCGAAGCTGCTCCCTTCCCGCTCCCTTCCACCCCTTCCCATCCCCGCGGGACCTGACCCCGCTCCCATGCCCTTGCTGGCTCCCACAAATAGCCGAGCCCGCGGTGCTGGCCTCCACCTTCCCCTCCCGGAGCAAGAGAGCGGGGCAGGAATCACAGCCTGGCACTCGCAGGGGAGGGAGAAGTTTGGAGGTTGTTTTTTTTTTTTTTAATTAGAAACTGAGCAAAAGGTAGTTTTCGCTGTGGACGCTGTCTCCTGTTCAGCCCTCGCCTGCCCAGAGGAGGACACGGGTGCGCTGGGCCAGGACAAGCGGATCCTGATGGGAAGAAACAGGAGGGCTTTGAGGATGAAGCTTTTCGCAACAGGTAGGGATCTATTTGGCGTCACAGCACCAGCCTACAACAGGCTAAAAGGATGTTTTGGAGACCAATGCAGTTTTTCCCTGTTTATAGATGCTCAGATCGCTACAATCCCACCTCTCCCATGCCATGAGTCTGCAAAAATACCTGCAAGCTGCCTGACGCTGAAGGGACAAACAGCAGCATTTAGCTGATAAACAAACCCCCAAATACTCCCCTTTCTGTTGACAGACTACTCCAACCTTTGCCCTTCCCACCCATGTTTGCAGACGAGGCGAACCTTTCAGTGCTGTTGCCCAAACGTGCCTTCCCCGCTGCAGAATTGGCCCTCGTCTTGACCAAGGACAGGATCTCGATCAGACAAAGATGCTGAGGGTGGGTGTGGGAGGCTGGTACCAGATATTGGTCCGGGATAGGATGAGGGGTGGAGTCTTTCGACCAAACGTGGGTGGTCCATGAACGCATCTCATCACTCAAAATCTCCTAGAGGGTAGATAGTAAGAGCTGTAGGTAAAGACCAAAATTCAGGGGGGATGAATGTGGGTACCACCATCCCTCCTGGAAAGAAACCTGGCTCCTGGCTGACACAGAGCTGGTCCGATGCCGCTGCGGCATTAAGCACCCATCGCACCGAATGCAGGCTCCTCCCGGGACAAAGACCTTCGCAGGCAGGCGGAGCATTTAAGGCAAGTGGAAATCTGTAGAAATTTGGGATTTGAACCATAAGTCGCCTTACTGGCCAGAGATGTTTTACTGCCATGAAGTCTCATACAAAGCTGGGTGCAGTCATCGGTGGGCTCTGCCGTGCAGCCACTCGCTCAGGCCAGATGTGGGTTTGAGGCAGCTCTGCTCATCCTCTCCTTGGTCTGTAGAAGCTACTTCTTGAATTTAAATCCCTCATAAACTCTCCTTTGGGGGACATTAAGGTCAAAAATATGATTTAAAGACCTTCATCAAACTCCGATGTGAATAAAAGCCCCAAAACTCACAAAAGGAGTTACGATGCAACGTATTTCTTTCCTTCCACTGTCAGATGGCTTTGAAGATGCCCCACTGCCAACACTCTGGCCTGAAAAGCATCACTTTAGTGCCCTGCCCTAGGCTAAGCCTGGGTGCCAGAGCAAGGGCACCGTGGTTTGGCTCCCCGATGCCCGGCTGTATGCATGCCCTGCCTCCCGATGCAGCTCCTGCTGCCTCCTGTGGCTTCCTAAAGCAAGCCATGGGTCAGCAGGGCCGTAGCAGATGATGCAATACGGGCCATGAAGGCTAATAACAGTCATAGAAAAGCGTATCGAAGAAAGAGACAAAACCGGACATCTCATTTTATAGTCATAAACAGATAAGTCACAACACACCAGTTAATTTTTCAGCTCGTACGGGGACAGAAGGGCCACAAGACCACATAACGCATTAGCCAACACGGATTAAAAACAGGGCCAGAGGGGCATGCAGGATCCTGAGCCTATATACAAAGGTCCCGCCGCTGCCCGCGGGAGGGGGCCTCCACTGAACCCAAGTTTCCACAGCAAAGATTTGTCTTGGTGTTACAAACCCTCACACTCGCCCAGGGACCAAGGGATGATTCCCATGGCACACGTCCCTCTTTAGGCTTCTCATGTTTTTAATGACAGGCATATAAAATGAAAATCCGATGAAGTATGGTTTTGCAGCCAGGATAAATGCGAGCTTTGTTTCTTGCTCTCTCCTGGGTTATTGTTCCCAGGAAAAGGTACCCCGGTTCCAGCCGGCACCTCATTTGCACGGGGACCCGCCGGGGCAGGAGGCCTTCCCTTGCACCATGCCACCCTCGTTAGTGACGCCTGGAGATGACGAATTTCTACACAAGGCTGAGCTCTGCCTTCGTACCCATGGGCTGTGTGATTTTCTTGAGCTCTCTCCCTCTCCCCCTGGGGACGGCACTGACCTGCACCGGCTCCGCACGGCAACGCACAGGCTACAAGTTAAACGCTGCCGGGTTTTTAAACACCAGGTTTTGGAAACACCAGGCTTCCCCTGCCAATACTGATTCATGGTTATTGCTGCATAATACACGACCGGCCCCCAAAAAGAGCGGTGGGACCCTGTGCCCCGAGCCGGCTGCATCCCCGCATCCCTGGCCGCAGGGAAGCCACCTCCCGGCACGGAGCGAACCCATGACACACGGGGCTCTGTCCCGACCCGGCGTGCCTTGACGCCTCCGAAGTGCCCGTCTCAGCGGCTTGCCCATGGTTTTTGCCTTGCAGAGCCAGCCGCCATGGGCTGCGCTGGGAGCTGCCCCTCTCTTTTGCACCTCAAAAGCCCAATCATTAGTCGCTGGGTGAGAAAACGGAGTGGCCGAGGGACCTGCTGGTCTTGTCCATGCGGTTTTAAGGCATATTTTGCAGGAAGGGGGTGCTCCCGCGTGGCTCCGTTCGATGAGGGCGGCAGGACCGGAGCCTGGCAGCCCCCCCCGCCATGGGCTGCGCTGGGAGCTGCCCCTCTCTTTTGCACCTCAAAAGCCCAATCATTAGTCGCTGGGTGAGAAAACGGAGTGGCCGAGGGACCTGCTGGTCTTGTCCATGCGGTTTTAAGGCATATTTTGCAGGAAGGGGGTGCTCCCGCGTGGCTCCGTTCGATGAGGGCGGCAGGACCGGAGCTGGCCGAGCTCCCCATCGTCCCAGCTGCAGCTCCCCGGGTGCGTGGGAGAGCAGTGGAAAAGGAGAGAAGAAGATTAAAGCGGGACTCGCCGACCATTTATTTGGTTTGTGCGTCAGACTAAAGCAGCGTTTCCTCCTTCAGATCTGCTGGCTCCAGAACTGGACGGGGAGGGGGTGTCCTGCTTGGACGTGACACCCGAGTGACACTGGAGGAGAAGGATGGACAGCCGCAAGGTTCAACAAGCTCCATCTGTGGCCTGCTTTAAAAAGGCATTTATTAGCTGTAAACCTCTGTCGTGACGTACAGAAAACTGGGGAGAGGAGCGGGAGATCGATCAAGTTTGAATCCTGGTGAGAGTCCTCCTTAGAAAAATGGTTAGAGGAAAAAAAAAAGGGCGGCTTTGAAATCAAAACTGTCCCGAAAAAGAGCGTTTCTGCTAGTTAAAAGCCTTTAACTAGAAGAACTTTTTGTGTTTTTTTTCCTTTACAAACATAGTGCATCTGCGATCATTGAGAATCATGGTCCGTCTAGAAAAGGGCCTGTGCTTGGGCTCTGGAGAGGCTGCTGGTGGCGACAGTGAGTGTCGGTGAGCGGAGGCGTTACATGTGTGCTTCGGAGGCAGGACAGCCCGGCAGCAGCTCCCCGTTCACCACCGCCTCCGAGACCAGCATCTTGTCTTTGCCGGGATCCAGGCGCTGCTTCTTCAGCATCCTCTGATGGACCAGCGGGACGACGGAGAGCACCAAGGCGCCGATGATGGGAGGGACTCCAGCAAAATAAAAGGCCGCGTCGTAATTCTCAAAATAATCATTGAGGTATCCTGAAAGAGAAGAACAACGGTGGTTATAGCCACGTCAGTCTAATGACCGACTCGTCTCCTCCCTCGAGTGAGAGCTACAGCTTGCTTCAACCACGAGATTTTGGTTTTTAAAACAATCTTTTTTTCCATTGCATTCCTTGGAGTTTTTATGCCCTGGCTTAAAGGATGTGCGCAGCCAACATTGTGTAGCAAGGAAGCCAAGAAGAAAAGCCTCAGCCATCCTTCCTATTTAACCAGAACAGGACACAATCAGACACATCCCAAACAATCCCAACCACAAGCTGAGACAGGGTTAAACAACCAAACATTTCAGGTGGCTCTTCCTAGCACCTTGCTGGCCAGGAGGTAACAGGAAAGCAGGCAGGGGCCGTGCCTCTGCAGATTGCCTCCATCTGGAAGCCCTGCTTTGCTTACGGATATTTTACCTACCTGGGGATGTCAGCTGAAAAATACATGCTGCCAGTTACACACAATAACCTATCCCTTAAAAATGAATGAGGTTCTGCACTTGTTAGTTCAGCAAGTTCTGACACAGCCAGGCATCCTTGGAGAAAAATGCATTGCCGTTTATTGGCACTGGAAAATCCCTCTGGGTTTTCTCCTGCGTAGACACTTGCCTGGGGATTACATCCACGAAACGAGCCCCTTCACCCAGCCCTGTGCCCGGCCAGCCCGATGCAGGGGGGCCTGCAGCAGCACCCTAATGGTGTCTGCAACCCTTGTGCTCCTTCAGGAGGGCATTAAACTGAATGTTGCTGCCAGAAGCAGAAAGATCAGAGGTGCTTATACAGCTTTAGCTTAGCGATTGCTGATGCAGACGTTCCGCTGTTCAAGGGCCAGCTTTGGCAAAGTGCTCGCTGTTAAGGACGTTGTGGTTATTACTGTGCATATACCCAAGCCTTGGGAAGCCAGAGGCTCAGGTGTCTCCATCTTTAACTTTGATTCAGCAATCCAGGGGCTGAACTTTATTGATTGATTAGCAATCAGTCCCCAGATATCTAAAAGGACTTATTAGAAACCTAATATCTGCCAATTTTTAGCTCAACTTCAAACAGAAATCAGTTAATGAAATCTTGGGTCGCTCTCACCGTTCCTCTGCTGGTTACCTTTCATCAGCCCGGAGAAAGGCCCTGAGATGCTACAGGACATAGCGTGGAGTGATGCTACACCCGTACCTCAACCCCCATGCGACACGATAAGCCAGAAAATTCAAAATCGTATGTCTGGTCTCACACCTAAATATCACCACGGGTGAAAGCCGCTACAAGCATCTGCTCCCCCCCAGGAGCTGGGTCCAGGTCCGGCACCATGGCACTACCAACCTGCTATCGGTGTACCCGCGGTCATGGGCACAGCCATCAGCCCCATGAGGTACCCTATGGCCTGGGATGCCTGCATGGGCCCCACCAGCTCGAAGGCGATGGGGGCCATGATGGTGGTGAAGAAGCCATCGCAAAGGCCGAGGAAGAGGCAGATGACAATGACGCCTTCGAACCCTCGGCACTGGGGGATCATCATGCACAGGAGGCCCAACAGCATGAAGGATGCAACCTGGGAAGACAGAAGTGGGCATGTCATTGGGGAGCAGGATGAGTGGGGATGGGCAGCACGAAGCGTCATGAAGGTGACACTGAACAGGGCAACGACATTGCCCCCTCCTCTGGACCCAGCAATGCCATCCATCCTCTGCTCTCATCTCGGAGAGGCCCTTAAGAATAACCTTTTAAGAAGCTTTAGGAGGGATTATCTCCTTAGATTATCTCCTTAGATTAGCTGCTAGATTTCAGCAATTTGTTTTTCAAAAACCACAAGAAGGTGAGAGGGTGTCCAGCAGTTTGGGAAGAGTTGGGACCACAGAGTTTGATTGCTGAACTGACACCGAGACCTCGGGTCAAGTGTGTAAGTTCTCTGTACACCTTTCTACAATAAATTTTCTTCCCTGACAGCAGACAAGGGTGTTAGGTGATGGTCGGTAAAGGATCTGTGGTTGACAGTTATTAAGCAGAGTGTCGATACTGACGTAGCGATGCTATCCCCTGGCCCACAGTGGTTAGCCAGCAGCTATGTGGAGGGTCGGACACAACGTACCTGCAGGTAAATCTTCTTCAGCCCAGGAATGCAGTCGCCAATGCGGCCTGAAACCAAGCGCCCCAGCCCTGACATGGCTCCAAGGCAAACCAAGAGGATCCAGTCCTTTTTGGTTTCCTGAAATCGCTTCTCCACGTATTTTACCTAGGATGGAGGGAAGGATGCAAGGACATGAATCCTCAGTAAGTTAATCCCTCTCATATCCCCAAAAGGGACAAGACTTCCTGCAGAGGGCTTGTGGCTTTTGGGCTGGTTGTGTGACCCTCATGTCCGCACCATGCTGATCTGCACACACCACCTCCGCCCACCCCAAACCCAACAGCCCCCTCCTCTCCCGCTACCGATGCTTGTCCTCGGGAGCCATGGGAAGCGACCGCTCTGCCCACCCTGGTGCAGAGGACACATAGGAGCATTGAAAAGGTGTCTCCTCCCATCACTATTCCTGTTTGCAGGACGTGCCTGTAACAGTTTCTTAGCTTCGAGGCTTTTGGTGGCTCTGTCCCTGCTGCCCATCTCCACCTTCCCACCTCCTCCTCGCTTGCAGGGAAGAGCCCTTTCACTCTGGGCAAAGGGACCTCCCTCCCCTTCCCGTCCCAGCCAAGGCTCTTACCAGGTTCATGTAAGGTACGAGATATCCCAGGACAGCAGTAGCGATCCCAAAGGCCCAAATCCGATAGGTCTTTCTCCGGAAAACCCTCAAGTTGAAATATTTGCGCGTCTGGGCCCAGCACTGCTGCCGCATGCTCCGGCTGCCCAGCTTGTCCTGCCCATCGTGTTGAGAGTCACAAGAAGGCGGCAAGATGGGCCGATAGGTCAAGGACAAGAATATCTGGATGAGCATTAAGGCACTGAGTACTTGGAAAGTATGCGCCAGCCCAATGGCCTTCCCGACCATCTTCAGGAAGAAGGGGAGCGGCACGGAGATGAGGCAGCTGCCGCCGGCCACGATGCCATTGGCCAAACCAAGGCGGCGCTTGAAGTAGTGACCAAGGATGACCAGTGAGGGCTGGAAGGCGAAGGAGCTGCCGCAGCCAAAGAGGATCCCATATGTGAAATAACGAACTTCCAGAGACCTAGTGGGAAAAAAAACCACATCAAGGTGGCTACGTTACGCAGAGGTAAAGAAGCCTTCTCCCCTGCGGTCCTGCAAAACCTGGAGTCAAGACCCAGGTCACACATTATCACAGGTGCTACACAGACAGTCTGACCTCGAGGAGCTTATTCCCTAGCCAAAGCAAGGATTATCCTCATTTCACAGCTGGCACGTTAAATCTTCGGGAAAATGAAGCCTAGCTGAGGAGTGCTTTCTGCAAAGAGGAGAAGGCAGCCAACCTGCCCTCCTTGGGAAGCTGACCTAACTTGAATGGTTTTTAAATTACAGCAAGTAAGATTTTCTAAGGTAGGCAGGTTATTTTTAGCTATAAATCCATTTTTTTTCCACTGAAAAGGACTAATTGAAAACGTTTTGCACCCAGTGTTTGAAAGCAGAAGGCACCAACCCTGCTGGTTATTAGGCACTTAGGAAGGGAACATTGCGTTTCTGCCCAGGCTCCTCTGGGAGCTTCAATTAGACAGTTAATAGATCTCATTTGTACCTTACATTGGTGGCTGCACTCGAGGAGGGAGTGAAGTGGCTGCTCTACAGAACAGGTGGAAAGTCCTGAGAGCCCTTGGAAGGAGCTGCTTCCCAATTGCCAGCCCGGTTTTCCCAACAGAAGCAGCTGAGAAAGGAGCCTAAAGTTAGGCAGTGCAAATAACCCATTGTGTTTCTCTCCAGATGAAGGATTTTTTTCTTCATCCCCATGCAATACATTCAGCTGCAAAAGTCTGCCATGAAATACTGCATGGGAGGAGAGTGAGATGGAAACGTTTGGGCAGCTCACCGGGCAAGCGATGCTGCACAAATGGGGTCTTTACTCCAACACTCAGAACGATTCATGTGAAATACCGAGTGCTGCTCACGAAGCAAGCGAGAAGACAGCAGCCCAGATCTAACGGAGCAATTTGAAGTTGAGAAAACGTTTACAAGCACATAATTTCTTCCATTACACACTCATCTCTTTAGCTAGCCAAGCAGAAAGCAGACCGTGCCTGCTGTACCCAACGGCTCAAAGACAAATGACTGTCATGAAAAGCAATTTCCAGCTCCTCCAGAACGAAGCCACATCAGAAACCCTCTCTGCAGGAGCCAGGCAAGCAGCTGGGCTACGCAGGCTGTCTCCGACCTCCCACGCACCAGCCCTGGCCATCTCAGCTGGGCCACACCAGCTTTGGTACTGCAGCTAAGCTGACGTGTTGGATAAGTGGAGACAAATGCCACGGCTCCCATCTGCTCCCCGTTGACGCTAAGACACCCCTGCATGAGCAGGGGCTCCTTTCAGCCATACTTCTTAGCCAGGATTTCCCACCCTGCTCGCTGGGAATCGGCCAGCTGCTCTCCGGTGGGAAGGGCAGCATCGTCTCCCTCGGATAACGAGGTCTCCCATGGATAACGACATCTCCTGGGACAAGGAGATCTCCCTCCAACGGCTGCCTCTCACAAGGGGAATGGCCCTGGTTCAGCCCCGCTGGCAGAGGTTTGGGGGATTTCTCTCTGCAGGAGAAATTGGGAAGAAATTGTGGAGGGGAAGGAGCAGCAGATGAAAAGGGGCTCAAACCCCACCACAGAACACTTAATGGTGCAGAAGAGGAGGGCTGGGAGGGATTTGGGGGCCATATGAAGGCAGCCTTGCTGAACTGGCCACCATCTCCCATTCCCCACGCTGAAACAGCCCCCTTAAAACTGGAGGGAAGGTGGAGTCTTAACACAACTGGGGTTTCTCTCTTCTTGAGGGCCCATAAGTTCTGTGGTGGCTCGAGCTGATTACGAGTGCAGGAGACACCCCGGTGCAAGGCAGCAAAGCGAGGAAAACCCTCGCCTCAACCCCATCCAGAAAACTTCAGCCTTCCCCAAAGCTCTGCATTTCAGCATATTTTCTTTATTTAGTGGTTTTCATACAAAACTCCCAATATTTTTTGAGTAGGAGGCACTGAGCATGGGTGCTGGGGTCCTGCTGTGCAGGCCCGGTGGCTGAGTGGGTTTTTGGATCAGCTCGGTGCAATGCTGGGAACCACTGCTCCTCTGCTTGGACAAAGCAAACCCATTTTAGAGAAATCAGGAGATAAAGGGTTGATTAGCCTTGATCCAGCCCTGCCTGAGCCTACCTAACCCAGGCTGCATCTCCCTTTACAGCAGCAGCTCATGAACAGCAGCTCCCTTTGCACCGGTGCATGGAGCCCGGCCGGCACTGGGTGGGTCATCTCCAGCTGCAGCTGGGGGAGCTGGCAAAGGGGACCAAAAAAAAAGCTTCTCCATTGTTCTGGGCGAGCAGGAGCCACTAGCTCCGAATTTCGGGACCAGCCTTTGCCACCCAGATGGAGCACTACCAAATCCCGCAGGCCCGCTGCTCTTCCTCCGGCTCCGGCTCGGCTGTGCCGAAGGCAGATTCCCTGGCCATGGTCCAGCTGCAAAGGGGCTCCTTTCTCCCTTAAAAGGCAGCCCAAAGGAATGTGAACCAAGCATGAAAAGGCAGGAAATGGGGATTTCAGCTCTGGAGCTCTCCTGGAAATAATATTCTTTGCCTGTACTGTTTGATTTTTTTTTTTAAGCCCAACACAACAAGCCACTGGCAGCGGTGTGGTCCCAAGAGCTCTTTTTCTTTGCGCAAACATTTTACAATGGGGGGGGTAAAAAAAAAATCCAAGCTTCGTTGATTGCAAGATTATGTGGGAAGCGCCTGTGCTCGGCACTGCCAGGAGCCTGGGCATACCTTCCCTCAGGACCGCCTGCACTTTCCCCAATTACTATTATCTTTTGAAATACAAAGGGGTGGCACCTGCGGAGGAAGTTGCCGAGGGTGGTTCCTTCCACGCCGCTGCCCGTGCTGCTGACCAAGATGGTTTTAGCATCCCAACTCCCCTGGATGCGATCGGCCCCGGTGCCAGGGGCTTTGCCTCCCCCTTCCCAGCGTAATGGGGGGGCTCCCGCAGCTGGGGACGCAGGGACCCATCACACAAACGTATCCACAGGGAACCAGGGTTGGGGCGAGCACGAGGGTCTCGTTGGCCAGGATAAAAGGGAGCTGGCATCCCACTGCCCCGCGCGGGCAGGGAGGAGCACAGCGCAGGCAAGTCACCCTCCGGGAAACTAGTGTGTATTGGCTTTAAACAAACCCACTTCTTGAAGCATTTTAATTAAAACAATATTGATTTTAACTGAAATCCAACCCGAAGCAATGTTTTTACTCAGAAAAACTGGGGCAAATGATGCTTTGGAGGGTGTCACCACGGTGCCTTTGAGACTCCGTTTAACAAGTGCTGCATGAAGTACCCCAGAGGTGACCTCTTTTTGCTCCCACAAAGATGCAAATGTCTTGGCTTGGAAAGATTCTCACATCGAATGAGGTACACCTGCGATCCAAATACACATCGGCGAGCGCCTGCCAGCAGAAATTCATGGCACGGGCTCAGCCGTGGAAAATGAGGAGCAGCAATCACCCTGCGCTGCAGCAAACGCCCCAGCCGGCGCAGGAACGGCACAAACTGTTCCAAACCCCGTCTGCCTCCCCTTCCCCGTCTGCCCTGCACGGAAACTCCCTCTTGCCAGGTGTAACCCATCAAATATTATTTTAAGCATTAATTTACTTTCAGTACCAAATGCGAAATTGGTTGCAAAGAAGACCGGGTTTGTCCACGAGCGTCTCTTTGGAGCTGCCCGCAAGAGGTGCGCCAACTTCTCACCGCCTGTTTTAAAGATCAAATGACGAACCTGAGGGCTGAAATCCCATAAAATAAATTCCCTCGCTCAGGTAAAATTCACTCTCTTGTTATAAAAGGACAAAAGAGCAACTTGGTTCAATTTGGAGAGAAACAGGCTGCTCGCACGTGGGCTGTAGGGATGCCAGGAGACCTCTCATCTGGCTGGAAACCACCTGCTTTGCCCCAAAAGGCAGCAGCAATGTGGAGGCAGGGAGGTTGCAGGGAACAGTGAGGAAAAGGAGCTCGCTGAAAAGCTGGATGACCCCCCTGCAGCCTTACTTGGTGAAGGAGCTGGAGAGGAGTCCGATGAAGGCGATGGCAGCTCCGGAGGCTGCTGTGGTCCTGCAGCCGATCCGGTCGGTGAAGATGCTGACGATGGGAGAGCAGAAAAAAATCATGCCCATGGCCAAAGAGCCGACCCATGCTAGGGAGAGAGAGAAGAGAGGCGACGGTCAGGGTGGGACATCAAACAGGTGCCAGAAGGAGAACAACCAGGGACCAACTCCAGCTTTGAAGGTGGTCTCAGCAGACAGGCAGCCCCATCACACCATTAATTAACAGTGCAGCTCATAAATAACAGCGTTACTGCCCGCGCTGCCCACCAGCGTCACGGCTGGGGCGCAATCTGTCCCACTGTTCACCCGTGAGATGGAGGCACAGCCAGGTTTTCCTTTTATTCCCTTCCGCTGGGTTCATACGTGTCCTAGGGAAGGCAGTGAGCTTTCTAATGCTTTTTTCTAATGGCCCTTGCTGCGCACGTAACGACACCTCCACTGATGCCGCTTCCATAGGGGACATCTTCACAGCCAAAAGACCCCGAGCTCCTCAGAGCCCTCTGCTCCCTGGCTTTGGCTATGAAGAGTTTCATATCTTGAGTTAAAGCTCTGCGTTTCCAGGTACCACACTCATCCATCACTGCTCCCCACTGCCCAGAGCCAGGACTGCCCCACCTCCCCCTCGCCCCACGTTCAGCGGGGATTTCTCATTGCAGCTGAGCTGGTGGGAGACACACAGGTTGTACCAGGTTAGATGACATCCCTGGCCCTGCCGGGCGATGCCCAGGCGGGACCGTGAGCTCATGTCTCCTTCCGACCCACCTCTGGAGAAAACCACTGTCTGTCTGGCTGTCTTTTTTCAGAAACTTTTATTATTTGCAGATTATTTCAGCCCGTCGTCTTCTCCCTGCCCTCCACCTTCTCTCTTTAATGGTTTCTGTGACTATTTTGGAGAGGAAAGGCAGGATTTCAAGAAAAGCAATGTGGTAAGGAAAAAAATCTCAGTCTACCAGCTCTGAGGAGAAGCAAGAGGTCCCCTCGGCAAGGTGCGAGACAGGGCAGGACAGACGGACGGACAAGGGGCCCCCAGCCCTACATGGCACCCAAGCAGGGGGGACCTCCTGGAGCATCTTCCAGCTTCAGGCCAAGCACGATCTGCCCCGGACAGACCCCAGGACATGTGCTCCTTGCTTTTTTTATTTTTTTGGGCGGGTTGGTTTTTTTGCACCCAAACCAAGCACTCTGCAAACCCTTTTAGCACAGCCCCACACAATAACAACCCGTCCTTCAAGAGCCATGAGATTTTCAGAAAATAGCCAGGTCCCTATTAAAAGCAAATCCCGGCTATATAACAGCCTCTCCAACCTCTGCCTTTCAAAAAGGACCACACAAAGAAGCCCTCGCTAGCCTGGGAAGAACTGACCCTTCCAAATTAATTATAAGTTTGCAAGGACCCAATTTACTCCAAAGTCTTCCCTAATAAATGCAGAGCGGAGCAATAAAAAGAAAAGCGAGGGCTGCGCGGGAACCTCGTGGGACTCACTGGGCTCTCGTCTCGACATCAGGCGAAGTGCAAAAGGGCGAGGGCGAGGACCCCCCTCTCCGGCTGATTTTTTTGGTTATAAACACAAGGCACAGTGTAATGAAAGTCCTTCTAATAGGATTAGGTGGCACGGCTCCAAAGAGCCGTCCAAAACAACTCCAAGAGGGGGTGAGGGGTGGGAGCAAAGCCAAGATGGGAAAGGCTCGTTAAATTGGATAATATACTTCCAGAAATGTTCCTTCTACTCCAGCCAAGGCAGTAAAACGTTAGATGGCCCCGTCACGTTTGAAGTTTGTTATTTTTGGAAATTACTTTAAGAAACGCGGAAATAAAAGCATAAAGCAAAGTATTAAATTTAAAGGGCCAGATTCTGATCTTAATAACCCAGAGATTTACATGCAAATAAGCAATATCAATCTCTGGCCCCAAAAATGCATACTCACCTGCGGAGATCAAAGCAAACCCGGGGCGAGAGGCTCAGCAACGGGCGCTTAAAAGCTCCTCCAGCTTTGGGTTTGTAAAGAGGAGATATCACTCAATTAAAATTGGTAAACACAAAAAAAGAGTCCCGTGGCAAATTGCTCTACCTTAGAGAAAGGGCTTACCACAAGCAATGAATAAAAATAGACTTGGGGAAGAACATCAAGTTAAAATTAGTAAGAACAATAGCCTCACTTCCAGAGCAGGGTTTTGTCTTCCCAGCACTTCCCAGCGAAGCCCCGGGAAGCCGGGAGGGCTGGGCGAGCTCCAGCGCTGGAAGGAAACCTTGGCAAAATCTGGGGGCAGGAGAAAGCTGCCTCAGCCCCAGCTCCAGTCCCGGCACGATTCACCCCGAAACAGCCCCCAGAAAGCGCGTTGCACAATTTACCCCCTTGTTTTAGCCCCAGCATGATGGCGATGATGTCCTTTCACCTGGGTCAGGGCAAGGCTGGAGGAAATCCATTGGCAGAAAACCACGGGTTGGAAAGAAAAATGAGGTTCAGGTGAAGTGTAGCCCCAAACCTGCCCTCCAGACACGGAGCCGGAGTCCCTGCATCCGCTCCAGGGGATGAAGGGTTTACTTTTGGCAATCTGTAACATGGTATTGAAGTTTCTCCTGGACTTTCCTGGACATGAAGGGCAGAGGCAGCCATTCCTCCAGTGGACACCAGAAGGGGCTTAATCAGCCTGAGTCAGGGCTTCCCTTCGGCAGCTCCTCAGATGCAGGAGAAGTTACGACTTGATTTAAAGCCCACAGGAAAATAAAAAAAAAGGGGGAAATCTTTGCTTCTGATTTCCACGGGGTTTGGATGAGATGGTTAATTCCTAGCCCGGCCACACCTCGCAACCCTCTGCGGCTGATAATCTGGGCGAGATATACTGAAACACACAAAGACAAGCCCCCACAAGAGGCACGAAGCCTTATCAGCCGCATGGTGCGATCAAGCAAATCCTAAAAGAAACGATGGATTCAATCCAGCTGAGGATGGGGCTGGAAGGAGCTCAAGAGCTGTGCAGAATTTGGAAAGGAGTCAGGTTAAGATTTGATCAAGTCTTGAGGTGCTGTAAGTCCAACCACCTCCTGGAAGTGCCAGCTGAAAGGGCTGGTTTTGGACTTGCCATGGTCAGACCCGGCTGGTGACAGCTGAGAAACCCCCTCTCCAAGGGATGCCTTTACAGAAACACCAAGGGCTTCAGAAACCACTTTTTTTAATTAAAACAAGGCATTTAAAGCACTCTCCTTTTGCAAGGAGGAGTGAAGATGACTTCTGATTTGGGGGCTGGCAGTATTAGAGGTGGCTCAACGCGTGCTCTCCCTCCCCAATAGCCACCTCTCCGCTGACCCTGCTTGGCGCTGCAAGTTACACTGAGACCAGCCACGTCCATGCCACCCTGCTCACACCCGCAGCCCCTCCTGAAGGCAATAAAACAGCAGCTGGGGAGCCGTGACCCCCCGGGTGCACGCACCCCACTCCTCGCTGCTTGCTCCGGCAGGGATGGCAGCGGGCTGGGGGATGGCAGCAGCCCGAGCTGCCACCTGAGTCCAGGCCACCTGCAGCCCCAGATTCCTCCAGAGCTGATGGCACCTTCCTGGTGGTCCTGAGGATGCTCTGGGGCATGGGAAGAGCCCAGCATGGGGCTGGTGCCCCTTTGCTGGAGCAGAAAGGTTGACCAAGGAGAGCATCCCACCAGCAGCTCTCCCGCAGCGTCATCGCACAGGGGGATAACGCTCCAGCTAAACTGCTCCTTCCCACCTTGACTTAACAAAGACAGCCAAACTGTTAGGCCATGGCAGGTCCACAGCAACACAGCCTTTAACAGGGGAAGCCAGCGGTTGAAGGTCTCCAAGGGGAACGGTGATGCAGTGGTGTAGGAGATGTGGGTAACATGGCCAAGCCGAGCCATCCTCCCCAGCATCGCTCACTCTGGGCTCAAGACAGAGTAAAAACCAGGGAGGCGACCCATTTGTCCACCAGCCCTGCACCATCAAGCCATGCCCATGATGGAGGAGCTCTGGGACTAGGTGTGCCTCGGCCACCACATCCTCCTGGCAGTGGGTGACACCACTGCTGGGGACCCTGTGGCAGAGGAGGGCTGGCATGTGGGGGTCAGGACCTGCACTGGGGCTGGCAATGCCGAGGGGCCAGGGAGGACTGCGAGCACCACATCTGTGTGTTCATGGCAGCAAGAGGTGGGCAGAGCCCCCGGGGTTGGTCCAGGCAGGCCCCATGCACCAGACACCAGATCAGCCTTCTTTCCAGCAAGGCCATCCCAAAAGGATGAAAAGCTCCTTCCTGGCCGGTATTCTCCCAAGTAGAAAAAGGTTTCTGAGCATCGTGGAGCAGAGCAAGGTGGGCGCAGGAAGGTGAGAAACAACAGGGGACAATGTCACCACTCTGCGATGCAGATTCAGACCCCCCTACATCATTAAAAAATCGTACTGCACAGTACTTGCAGCTGAGCCTATTTGTTCCTTTAAAAATGAATCTCCAGGGAGAGAGAAGGAAGGGACGTCGCTCTCAGCCGTGCTTCCCCGCTGACCCAAATACCCCTGGCTGGAGGGATCAAGGACCAGGAGGTGACCTCAGATCCGCCGCTGGAGGAAGTGTCTTCCCTCGCTTCCCGCGGCTTCTCCCGCTCGCGCCGTGCGGCTGGGACAGGGCGGCCGCTGGAGGGGACGGGGACATGCTGCAGAGGGTCACCTTCCCCAGGCACTTGGCATTTCTTGGAGGAAAGATGGGGCAGCCAAAGGTAATTCGCCTCCATCTCCCTGTCTGTACTGCTCCTCCAAGAAATAAGTAATTTCTTGACTTGTGCTTTCTGGGGACAGGGAAGCTCTGCTGGCGTGACAAACCTCATCACACATCTTCAAAGCCCTCTCCAGCCCCACCTGGCTCCTTTTTCGGGTGGCCTGGGAGCCCAAGCAACCTGCTGGCCCTGCCCATGCAGACGCAGTGGGGAAGCGGAGGGCTGTAACCCCCCTCCATGGAGCTAATGCATGCCACCCGGAGCACATCTGCAGCGAAAACGAAGCAGCTGTTTTATCTTGCGCCCTTTAAAAAGCCATTTGCGTCATCTTGCTCACTCAAAGTAAAACCTGGAGCGCTCCCAACAGCTCGGCCCCATGTGCTCAACACCCCCTGCGGACCGAGCACATCCCGGGGAAGGTTGGTCAAGCCTTAAATAAAGGCAGATGCAAAATCACATCTGAGGAGGCCACCACAATGCACGGCAGGAAGGGAAACTAAGCTAAAGAGCAGCAAACCAAAGCTGAGGAGCAGCAAACCGAAGCTGAGGAGCAGTAAACAAGCTGAAGAGCAGCCGGGCTCCTCTGGACAGGAGGTGGTGGTGCGGTGCAGTAGCAGCCACCATGCATCATGTGCAGCTAAAAGCCAGATAAACTCATTAATTGTATAGCAAGCCCTGCTTGGTACCATACCCTAAAGCTTCAGAACAAAGTCCTCCTTTATTAGGTTTGGCTGACTTCTCCCCCCCCTCCCTTCTTTCAAAAACAATTCCAAAACAGCCTGAAAATTGGAATAAATGGAATTATTCAAAGGTCTGACTAAAGACCCTTTCAGTGTTCCATTTGTGGCAGTATTAGGACAGAGTAAGGAAAAATGTGAATGTCATAGAAGTGGCAGCTACTGTCACTGCAGCATTGTCCCATGACCATGGATAATGCAACAACTCAGAGACCAGACCCAGCAAGTGTCCATCCAGTCTTTGCCATAGGAGACTTTTAAAAAATCAATTCTTAACTGGTTCAGGAGCACAGGGCA